TATCATTCGACGTGACAGCATTATATACATCCATCGGACAAAACCTAGCAAAAGAAACCATGGAGCAACTACTTAGCAACGACGAACAACTGCCACAACAATCAAAAATGCAACACACAAGCTGGATGGAATGCATAAATCTATGCCTAACAACATACTTCCAATTCAACGGCCAAATATATGAACAAGTCAAAGGAACACCCATGGGATCGCCAATATCAGGTTTGATTGCAGAAGCAGTGATGCAAAGACTCGAAAATATAATTCTACCAAAGATCAAACCCAAGATTTGGATACGCTACGTCGACGACACATTTGTAATCATCAAAAGAAACGAATTAGATAAAACTCACAACTTAATAAACAACGTCTTCAACGACATCAAATTCACAAGAGAAGAGGAATCCGAGAACAAAATACCATTTTTGGACGTCTTAGTCAGGCGAACAACTACAGGAGAATTAGAAACTCAAGTTTATAGGAAATCAACTCACACAGACCAAATACTGAATTACAACAGCAACAACCCAATAACACACAAAAGGAATTGCATACAAACACTATTCAAGAGGGCAAGGACTCACTGCAGCACTCCCACCTTAAGAAAAATTGAAGAAAAGTATCTCATGGACGTCTTCCAAAAGAATGGATATCCACGGAATTTCATCAAGAGACATATACCCCCAAGCCAACCTACCAAAGCAAAAGCCACCAAGGAGAACACAAAGAAAATTGCCTTACCATATATAAAAGATATCTCAGAAATCACTACAAGACTCTTCAAACCTTTAGGAGTTGACGTCGTACACAAACCAACAAAGTCGCTTCACTCAATTCTATGTCAACCAAAAGACTCAACAGCGAAAGAAGATAAAACCAACATCATCTACAAAATAAACTGTAACAACTGCGAAAAACACTACATCGGCCAAAGTGGACGTCCCCTTCGTCTTCGTATCCACGAACATAAGCTAGCCGTCAAAAGACATGATATCCACTCCCTCATTTCACTACACACAGACAACTACGGACATCAATTCGACTGGGACAACGTTCAAATATTAGACAAAGGAAATAACAAGAATGCTAGAGAATTTTTAGAAGCTTGGCATTCCAGTGGATCATCAATCAATAGACACATCGACATAGACAAAATTTATCAACCAATAAGAAATAAACTTCACAGACAAAGGGTCAAAATTCAAGCCAAAGAAACAACCAGTTCCAATACAAGTAACCTAGAAGGTGTGAAAACACACACAAACAACCAATCACGTCCAAGGTCACCAGGAGAGATGATTAATAAACTCGTGGAGAAATCTAAAAGCTCACTTCAAATTGAAGTATGCGCTGAAGATGTCACCCAGTAAGGTGATGAAAGCTTCGCAAACTAACCATCCAGCTCAGAGAACAAAACCACATCAAAATCATCCACCTGAGCTACAAATCTTCTCTATAATATCTAAATTGAGTATTCACGATTTCACTGTTAGTACCATTTACTGAATGACACCGAAATTGGATCACAGACAATTTGAGACTTCCATTCTATCAGACAACAATCTAACACAGACTCACTGCATCTATCTTGTGAAAGAAGAATAGTTACTCTTGTTACTGTTGTCATCATGGAACAAATTCTTGTATGCTACGTTCATAAGATTAAGAAATCTTAGGAATAATCTCTCAAGCATTGAGATATTAAAGTCAATACGAGTTTTGTATGGAAGCTTTATCAAATTAGCGTAACACTTCCTGTAAACTTGTTTGGCATAGTGAATGAAATTAACTGTGATATTGAATAAACTGAAAACAATGCCCCAGTAACGCTTTTGTTGTTGGATATCCATGGAATTTCATCAAGAGACATATACCCCCAAGCCAACCTACCAAAGCAAAAGCCACCAAGGAGAACACAAAGAAAATCGCCTTACCATATATAAAAGATATCTCAGAAATCGCTACAAGACTCTTCAAACCTTTAGGAATTGACGTTGTACACAAACCAACAAAGTCGCTTCACTCAATTCTATGTCAACCAAAAGACTCAACAGCGAAAGAAGATAAAACCAACATCATCTACAAAATAAACTGTAACAACTGCGAAAAACACTACATCGGCCAAAGTGGACGTCCCCTTCGTCTTCGTATCCACGAACATAAGCTAGCCGTCAAAAGACATGATATCCACTCCCTCATTTCCCTACACACAGACAACTACGGACATCAATTCGACTGGGACAACGTTCAAATATTAGACAGAGGAAACAACAAGAATGCTAGAGAATTTTTAGAAGCTTGGCATTCCAGTGGATCATCAATCAATAGACACATCGACATAGACAAAATTTATCAACCAATAAGAAATAAACTTCACAGACAAAGGGTCAAAATTCAAGCCAAAGAAACAACCAGTTCCAATACAAGTAACCTAGAATTTGTGAAAACCCACATAAACCACTCATCATCGCCATCTAGCCATTGATTCTCAAACTCGTATATTTATTTTCAACCTGAGAAAATCTTCAGTATGAACGCCATAATTCGTATTAGTATTATTTCCTTTAATTCCTAGAGGAACATTGGTCTCCATTGCGTTCGGTTCTCTGCTAGAGTTTTCGTCTGGCTCAAAGTCTGCTAACATGCTTTCATCTCCTCTTCACATGACTTCCTTCAAATCACCCTCACATTGACGACCAACTCGCCGCCTGCCTTTCGAGTTCCACTCGAAAGCCTGTCTTGTGATGTCACTTGATGGTTTCCTCAGCGTATGGCCAATCCATCTCCATTTCTTCCTGCCTATTTGCTGTACAATCTGTTCCTGATGGGTTGGTTCATTCCCGGAGATCCCTGTTGCTGATCTTTTCTGGCCATCTGACCTTGGGTAGTACTGAGCGAAGACAGCTGTTGATGAAGGCCTGTAGTTTGTTTGAGATGCTCTTCATGAAGCCCCATGTCTCTGATCCGTATAGTAGCACGGACTTCACATTGGAGTTGAAAATCCGGATCTTATTTTTGATGCTGAGTGCTGTTGACCTCCACATAGACTTGAGAGTAATGAAAGCTTGTCTTGCTTTGATATCCTCGTCAGTTCCGCCTGTAGTTAAAACGATGCTTCACAGGTGAGTAGGAAAAGAAGGTTGTTTCTTTCAGGTTCCTCCCATTTATGCTGATTGTTGTCTGTTGTTGTTGCTGTTGGCCAGAAATCTTCATCACCTCTGTTTTATCTATGTTCACTTGAAGTCTTACCTTTGATTCTTCTTCTGCCAACTTGTTGCTTTTCACTTGCACATCTTTCAGTTTGTGGGAAATCAGACGCATATCATTGACGAAGTCGAGATCCTGCAAGTTCTTTGTGTGAGTCCATTTTATGCCTGTTTCCTCATTGTCTGTTGTCTGTCGCATTATCCAATCTACTGCAATCAGAAAAATCATTGGTGATAGTAGACAGCCTTGCCTCACTCCCGTCCTCACTTTGAAGGCTTCCTTAAGTTTCCCGTTGTGGATTACTTGGCATGCAGCACTGTCATATAACTGTTGGATGAGATGTATAATTGTCGATGGCACCCCGTAGTAGCGAAGTAGTTGCCAAATCACCTCTCGATTGACGCTGTCGAAGGCCTTTTCAAAGTCGATGAAGTTGAGATAGAGAGGTGACTGCCATTCCAAGGTCTGTTCAGTGATTATCTGTAGTGTGGTGATTTGATCAATACATGACTAGTTTCTCCTGAATCCAGCCTGTTCTGGTCGAAGTTTTTCACCCAGAGCTTGTTTGATTCTCTCTAGGATAATGCGGCTTAGTATTTTGCTTGGGATGGACAGGAGCAAAATTCTGCGCCAGTTTTTGCATTGACTTAAGTCTCCTTTCTCTGGCAGTTTGAATAAGTATCCGTTCTTCCAATCCTCGGGTACTTTTCCCTCTTTACACACCTTCTCCAGTAATGGCGTCATCAACTCCGCTTTTGCCTCTGGGTCCATTTTCAATGCTTCTGCTGAGATTCCATCTAGTCCTGCTGCTTTTCCAGCTTTTAGCATCTTGATTGCCTTCAGGACTTTTGATTTCGTCGAGGGGGTCGATGTTCACTGGTAGTTCTGCTTCAGCTGTTGATATTATTGGGTGCGTTGTAGGTGGCGGTCGATTTAGAAGTCTTTCGAAGTGTTCAGCCCAGTGTTTTCTTTACTCCACCTCTTCGGTGTTTGACTCCCCCTTGTCATCCTTCAGTGGCTTAATTTGTGTCGAACTTTTGCCCGATAGGTGCCTTGTTGTTTGGTAGAGTGTGGCAAGATCTCCTTTGCCTGCAGGTTGTTAGTTCTGCTTCACTTGCTATAGCTTCGGAATAATCTCTTTTGTCTTCCCTAGCACTTTTATCTATTCTTTTGTTCAGTGTATTGTAATTTGCATTCAATTCCCGCTTTTGCTGCTCGTCGGTGCACTGGATAATTTTTTGTTTTACTATCCTTCTCTCTTAGTTTTCAAGTGTCCATAGTGAGCCACCGTTTGTCCTGCCTCTACTTTCTGCCTAGAACTTCCATGCAGGTTTGACTCCACACCGTTTTCAAGTTGTTCCAGTGCTTTTCGACGCCGACCTCTTCGCTAGTGTTCATTTGTGCCTCGGCTTTGTTCTTTATGCTTGCAGTCAAGATGTCCTTTGTGGACTGGTCCTTCAGTTTTTGAGTATTGAACTTGGCTTGTGGTCTGTCTGCAGCTCCTTCTTCTCTGAAAGCTTTTAGTTTGATTTGGATTGTCCCTTGTACGAGATAGTGGTCTAAGCCAACGTCTGCTCCTCTTCTTACTTTTGTGTCCAGTAGGCTGCGCCTCCACGTCCTTGAGATTGAGATGAAGTCTTTTTTGGTTCGCCCACCACAATTTATACACCTTGAAAATTGAAAATTGGTAAGGGGGGACAGGAGTAGACAGGAAACGGGAAAATGTACTAAGAAACTGTTTCAGGGTATAAGTTCATATAGCATCTCAAGAAGGTTATAGAGTTTGATGTGAGAATAAAATAGATATAAAAAGATGCTTCTCTGCAGTTAAATTTGGAATGCTTTGTAGCACCACATGCCCTGTAAACTAGTTCAAATTACACACGTTCTTTTCCGATATCACCTCCAACTTGCTGGAGTAGGTACATTGAAAGGGCAGAAACAACGGCTTCTATCCCGTTTTCAGAGCATATCCCAACTAAATGGTTCTTCAAATGAAGCTGATATTTGGGAAGTGCAATCACCAATCACTTGCATGGATACTAATCTTTTCGTTGAGAATTCCGAATCCTTCAAAATAATAAACACACAAAAGCCAGCAAATTTACTAAGATTTGTTGGAGTAGTTGCAATTGAGTGTCTCAAAACAAAGTGATATATACAGAAAGAGACTGCAATCAACCTTGCACTCCCTTGATAACTGCATTTTAATTACACTGATTAGTCATCCATGTTAGTGATTTAAGCTTACTGAGCAAATTTTCAATCGACTGTAACCTTCTTGAGATGCTATATGAACTTACACGCTGACACTGTTTTTTATTACATTTTCTTGTTTCCTGTCTTCTCCTGTACACCCCATCCACCAATTTTCTATTTTTTTAGTGTGTATAAATTGATGGTAACTTAAACTAAAAATCGTAATACCAATGTTTCGGATGTTTCCTTTCCTGCTATTCAAACATTGAAGTATGTTATCGACATTCTTATAACCGTTGTGATTTCAGGCAGTTTTCCACTGATGAGAACCTGTAAAATAGAATGACATAATTTTATACTGCAAATCCCATCTTTATCTTTTTGGCGAAATATTATAGTTCTAATGAAGTTAATTTTTGATTAGGTTAAAATGGGATATACTATTACAATCATATTTGTAAAGTTAATAATTTTCAATGCCATAGAAGAAAACTTACTTGAAACAGGGTAGTACTATAGAATCAAGAAGGTAAACCTGCAGTTCGGGTATAAAGGCTTTATTTCTATCCAATGAAGGTTGAGGAGTCAAATTCCACGATTTTTCTAAGTCACCTTGAATGAAAAACTCATGATAAATCAGTTTCGCGGCTTCACGTGTATTATACCAGTCTTTACACTGATCATTTAAATCACATGCAGTAACTAGAAGGGACAGAAGTAGTTCACGATGTTTCACATTGGATGGATTGTACATTTTTCCAGTCACCTGCATAATTTCTGGCATCAATGAAATATGCTGACATAGATCTGTAGCCAAAATGATTTGCTTGAGTAGATATCTGAGTCGTTCATATTTCTGAATTATAGTGGAGAAAAAGTAAGATGAACCAAAAAGAGGAAATGAGAATTTTGAAGCATTTGTTATTTTGATACAGGTTGAAAAGACAGTTGGAAGTTGAAAATATCACAATAGCCAAAACATGCAAATATATCTATTGAAGGCAACAGTCTCGTCTTCTGCAAAATGGAGAATCACCTACTATAAAATATAATTATACAATTATACAATTCATTGAATGTCAAGTCAAATTGTCTTTTTTCATTATTCTACGTTCCTAGTGCAACATAAGGCTTTAGGCTTGAAATATTAAGTTTCAGTAACAGCGGCTGTTTTTATTTTAAAGAGGTGAGGTTGCTAGCCACACTTTCAACGTTCCCTCTTTACTGACCTTACCACCGGTTTGTTGAGGTTAAGGAATGTGTTGGCTGGGGTTTGAAGCACAGACCACATGCTTGGTCGGCCATCATTCTACCGCTGAACCACTAACTGTATTATATTTTATTACCTCTTCTAAGTAGTAATTTACTTAAAGAACGTCTGAGGTGACAGTGCATTCTGTGATTTTAACACTTCTTCAGATTATTTATTGCTGTTTTCCACTTATTAAATTGACTACTGCTGAGTATGTGCTGTGATTCCGCTAATAAATGAGAAAAATCACAATTTGACTAGGGTGATAAGAGATTGCATTTTATTTTATAGACAGTTTACACTGTAATCATGGCTTTACCGATTATTGATGAATATAAGTAGTATGCTCAGCCCAGTCTCCAGATAAGTAGTGATATTTTCTGTAACATTTTAGCCACTGAATAAAAAAGGTGAGAAGATTCCAATGTAATACAAATAAGGACAATAGTAACATTATTTGCGCATTCTGACATCGATGTGGGGTTTGTAATTTCCTTAGTTTTCATCGTGTTCTGTTCTAATAACCACTAATTCTGCACCCACCAGTCTTCCATTCACTTCAGAAGTAGTCTGTTAGTTATAGAACCTATTCACTAATTTGTGATGTTTAAGAGATAAAATTTACTGGTCAAGTTGGCTGCCGGCCGACAGTCTAATAAATGGTCATCACACTGGTCCTAATTATAATTTATTAGTTTTTTGTCAAGAATAAACTGCAAAAATTCGACACTCCTGCACATTGTGTTCAGTAGAAAATATTGAAAATCAGTCTACTGAACTTTAAAACGACTTACTGTTTTTTCTTGCTGAGGGCAAACTTATAACTTCTAATGGGATTTAGTAGCATGTGAAATCAAACAAATTATGAATGAAGAGAGACGTCATAAAATTCAAGTTTTTAACGAAATATGAACAGCGAGTTTAAATCTAATAGTTGTATTTTAATAAATATACGTAAATTGATAACTGGTGCGTAATATATTGCATGAAAACGGAGATACCACCGGTAGCACTGGTCAGTGTCGAAACCATATAAATAATTGACAGAATTTAGAATCAATGAAAAAGTGGTTTCATTGGTCTGGATATCAGTTTTTAAAAGAGGTTAGGGTTTAAGCAATTCGATGCAAATCACGTAATAAACATTGCCACAATTATTTTCATCACTAAAATATTTAAGGAATGTGAAGGTTGAACTACCTTCAGGAATTAAAAAGCCTTGGTCCATAAAATTCTAAGTACTGAGACTTTCTGCTTACTTTACAGTCAGTTTATTGTCGGTTGGATTCATAAATAAGTTATGCGTATGCCATCTGCAGACGGTAAGTGCATCACCTGGTTAACTAGCTCACTGGTTTTCAAGCCGATCCCAAGCCTTTGTAGAGAGGGAGGGTTGGGCGTGGGCCTAAGAACCCCAGATCACTAAATCTTTCAAACAACTACAGAAACTTCAACACATAGAAAATACATCAAAAATACAAAAACTTCAGATAAATATCTTATTCTTTGCTCGAATGGGAGAGAAAGAATGATGCGGACTGGTGAAAGCCGTCAGGAAGCTGGTCAGTCGATATGTATTTCCCCGAAGAAAGCAAGAAGAAAAATAGGTACTTGGAATGTCCATACAATGTATGAGACTAGGAAGGCTGCCCGAGTGGCCAACAAAGTGCAAAGATATGGCTTAGAAGTACTGGGTATCTGCGAAAGATTACGAAATGATTGTGGGTTATCCCAATTTCAACTGGGGAGTCAGTAATCTACTCAGGTCACCCAGACGACAACCACGAGCATACTGAGGGAGTGGCTATAATGTTTTCGCCAGCAGCAGCCAAAGCCCTAATGTAGTGGGAAGTAACATCATTCGGGATCACGACAAAAAATATTCAACTCAAAAGGAAGGAATGGAGGTTACAATTATTCAATAATATGCACACTGCTACAAACAACGCCAAACAAGAAAAGAAGGAGAATTTTTAAAGACAACTGCAAACAGAAATGGACAACATCCCAAATAGTGACACCAAAATTCTCATATGCAATATGAAGACAAGCGAAACCGGGAAGAGAACTCATAGTGGGTAAAGGGGCTCTCAGAGAAATGAATGAGAACGGAGAATTATTCGCAGACTTCAGTGCTTTCAACGATTTGGTGAGCGTGAGGGGAGTGAGCGTGTACAAACACAAGGATTTACACAAAGCAACATGGATTTCCCCTGACGAACATGTTACAAACCAAACAGATTTCATACCAATCTAAAGGAAGTGGAGACGCAGTCTGCTAGACACAAAGTCAAGAAGGGGAGAGGTGTGGGTTAAGACCATCGCCTAGTTCAAGGAACCTTCAAGGTGAAGCTGAAATCCATGAAAACAAATAGAAACAGACCACGATTGAAGTTCAACATTCAGAAACTGAAGGACAAAAAACACATGGGATACATTCACCGAAAATCAGATCAGAGCTAAGTAGGACATATGAAATAGCATCAGTGAAGAAACCTGCCTGGAATAACATTGGAACTAACTCTCTGAGAGCGATGTTCAGGGAAACGTGTACAACTGTTCTAAGAAGAATCAAGAGACAAGATAGGTAACAGCTGTCAACGGATGCCTACCTGGAAGTTGATAGAAGAGAGGAGAGGAGGATAGTGAAGGAGAAGTTGACTCAATGCAAAGATGCACAACAGAAGGAGAGGCTGAGTTCAATATACACTTCACTGAATAAAGCAGTAAAGAAGGGTTCTAGAAAAGACAAACGACAATTCTACGACACGACGGCTGGAAACTGAAGCAGAACAGGCAGGGCGCAGGCAAAAGAGACATCGGAACACTATATCAGACAACCAAGTCTCTATCCGGGAAGAGATCAACCCGGACAATGAAACCAATGAAAGACGCTCAACGGAACCTGATCACCAAGGAGAAGAAACAAATAAAACAATGAGCCGACCACTTTAAAAGACTCTCAAATCGACTATCACCTGCAAATCGTCCAGAAATACCACCAACAACACACACGGAAATATCTGTCCGTGGACGCCACTCCTCCAACGAAAGAAGAAGTCCTGAATACAATCAAGCCACTGAAGTCCGGCTGGAAAGCCTGCAGGAACAGACAGCATCCCTCTTGAAGCACTTAAGACGATCCCAGAGATTACGGCAGATGTTCTCACTCCTTTACTGCCAAACGTTTGAGAAGAAGGAAAGGTGCCTACTGATTGGAAGGAACGCTGGCTACTTCGTCAAACTGCCAAAGAAAGGAGACTTACGCTCACCTCTGCAAGAACTGGCGTGGAATAATGCTGTTGTCCACGCCAAGTAAGATACTAAGTCGCATCATCCTCCAGAGAATAAAGGATTCACTGGATACAGAATCCCGCCAACCGGAACAAGCTAGATTCAGGAAAGGCAAACTATGTGCCGATCAAACTGCAACTCTACGCATCGTCATCACAAAACAAAGCATAGAATGACAGTCAAACCTCACTCCACCTCAACTTCATCGACTTCGAGGAGGCCTTCGACAGCGTTGACTGCACTACGGCCTGCAGTGCCCAAATCTTTATCAAGCACATTCAGCGGCTGGCTATATGACGATATCACGTGTCAAGTGGTCCACAACGGACAACTCATCGTATCGTTCGAAGTGCATACAGGAGTAGGACAAGCTGGCTGACTATTATCACCGATGATATTCTTAGTTGTGTTGGACTGGATCATGATTCAGACTGTTGAGGGCGAGGAGTAAGGAGTACGCTGAACCATCGATGAGAAGACTCTGGAAGATCTGGATTTCGCACGTAAATGATGTATGTCTAATGTCACACAAACTCGAAGACCTGCAAGCGAAAACCAACAAACTGGCTGAAGAGGCTGGCAGCAAAACAGGACTGTAGGTGAACATAGAGAAGACGGAGATGATGAAGATAATCTACGAACTGCAACAACAACAACAACAACCAGGATCAATCATCATCGACGGGAGTGATTTAACAGAGGTTGAATCCTTCATTTACCTAGGAAGCATCGTTTCAACTACAGGACTCAATACGGATGAATATTTCAGAGTCAGACAGAACCGGAAAGGCAAGATACACCTTCATCAACCTCAAACCAGTTTGGAAATCTTCAGCACACAGCCAGCAAAGGATCAAGATTCGGATTTTCAACACCATTGTGAAGTCGGTTCTTCCATACGGGTCAGAAACTTTCACTGCGCGGGAGTCACGAGAAGGATTTCCAACAGTTGGTGGTAGACTGTCATCAACATCTGTCTTCGCTGGCTCCATACTTAGGATCGAATGGCCAGAAAGAATAAGCAACAAGAAACGCTGGAGATGAACAAAGCAACCAAGAGCTGATCGATCAACAGATATGTAGGAGAAAGTGGAGATGGATCGGCATACATTGAGGAGGCCGCCGAAGGACATCGCGCGCCAGGCCATCGCTCAAATGGAATCCAAACGGGAAGCGAGGAGTGGGTCGTCAGTGTGAGGGTGAGATAGAGGAGATCGTGCGAGGAAGAGATGATAGAGTTTGGTCAATAGTGGATCCAGCTGAAGAGGATGGTAGAAAACAGGAAAAAGTGCAGATGTGCTGTTGAAGCCCTATGTTCCATTCGGAATGAAAGGAAAAAGTATATATATCAACGTCGGACGCCCTTTTCGTGGTTTCCATGCAGTTTCCACTCAGCTGGCCAGCGTTTGGTGAATTTACTTGAATACCTTCTCAGCGTATGTTTCAACCATACGGCTCCATTTCCGTCGTCATGTCTGTGGGGCAATAGATTCTTGAATATTTCGCCGAATGTCACAGTTCTTTGTTGTTAGCCTATAGTTTCCAGCCGGTCACCTGACCTTCATTAACGGGAGTCACGAAAGGGATTCCCAACATTGGTACAGTATAACTCCATTATGGATAAAGTTTTATTTGATATATTACACACTACTGTACATTAATATTTACTGACGACGTTTCGAGCACTAATTTTTGCGCATGAAGTGTTGAGAGCTGGCTGCTAACAAGATGAAATTGTAAACAAAAGTTAACGTCAGTGTAACGCCCGGAATAAACGTCATGAGAAAAGCGATAACAAAGCTTAACCTTGATAAACTCACTGACCAATCACAGCAGACTTCATGTGTACAAATACGATTCCCAGATATATGGATTAACTTTCTAAGAAACGGTCACAGACAGCACAGAATAACCTTCAGCAAGAAAACAACCGATTAGAAGAAGTTGCTCCTCTGCTAACAATAACGCTAATAATAATGTACATAAAAATCTATAAATTTCTCTTGATTTTTTTAATAAACAATCTGTTGTCTGGCTTTCGTCTTCTGTCGTTGCAATAATCCTATTAAGATGCACACACAACTTTCTTGCTTTATTTACATACATGAATAAAAACTCATTGGACATTTGAATAAAATCAATATTAGATAAAGTACATTCAGAAATGATATTAGTGTTATCAATAAAATCCATTAAGATTAGAAAGAAGATGTTTTTTCACAGTAAAAATAAGTTACTTGTTAGAATATTCGAATGTGGTATGGAAGATATTATAACCGGTCAAATCGAAGGATAATAAATAGTGTTAAAATGTATTTAATTCACATTGTAGCATTCCAATAAGTTATTTATTTTAATATAAAACATCTTATTTCTGGTCTTATTGACTGACAACACTCGTCTTATTTCACATCCCAATGTATTTTTTTGATAACACTAATATTGTTTCCTAATGTACTCTATCTTCCTTTTTGTTTCACGCAAGTCTTATATTGAATTTATTCAAATGTCTCATCAATTTCTATTCATGTATATAAACGTAGCAAAAAGTTGTGAGTACCTTGATATGATTGTGAGCAGTAATAATTTGTGCTCGAAACGTCATCAGTAAACCTTAATGTGTGATTTTATCAAGTAAAATTCTATCCTTAGTGGAATTTATGTCATGAATTATTTGATCATAAGCAGGGAAAATTACTTCAATTGGTAAAATGATTAGCTGTTGTATTTCAAGGATACATTTGCCCGCACCGACGCACATCTGATATCTATGGTCGGCCTGCAAAATTTGGGCTACCGATATCCATGCTGAAAATTCCATACTTGTACCGAAAATACAGTGTGGAATCAAGCTGTAAATCAAAAGAAAAAATCATCGAAGACGTATACTCACCTGATAACTGTTATTAAATCCTCTATGGTCAATATCATGACATAATGCACCAATAAATAATGCCAACCGTTCAATTTTATCTAAATACTGATTTGTTAACTGTGAGTCAATTGTTAATGCTAGATAAGCCACATGCCCAACTGTGAACGCATGCATCCAATTGTGGTAAGCTGGTGAACGATAATTTTTTTTAACTGTTAGAATAAAGCATGCAAGAGTAGGCCGATGAATTTTCCATTCATCTATGAAACCCAGAGTATCAAACATCATCATTATGGCCTAAAGTAAAAAGGAATGGACAAATGAAATTGAACTCCATTAAAATGCGTAAAACATTTAAATTAGAGATTTCTAAAGCGAATTAGGATAACAAGTTGTTTTGTGGTTTTAGTGATTCAATGATGGAATGCTTGCCATCTACGTAGGATGTTCAAGTTCAATTCTTGGCTGATTTACTCCTTACCTCACTTAGTTTATTAGCTGGTAGCAACCCCGAAAAGGGAGGAAGGATGTGTGTCCTACATCCGTCCTTCTGTAAGCCCGTAAAAGAGATACTACCGCTACTAGGACTTGAAGAGTGTTGCAATTCATCTAAAGATTCACTTCCATGTTTTCATAGGTACATTTTGACATATAAGAGCGGTAAACAATGTGTAATCAAATTATATTGGAAGTATATTGTAGCATATTTATCCAAATAAATGCATGTTTATTTTACTGGTACTTGTCATTGGACAGAATCGATTAAGAAAAGTTAGTAAATAGGTTTCCATGACAGACATCCAAATAGAGCCTTCACTTTTATTCCTGCGTTGTATACTATATATTAAATTCAGTGTTTCTAATAAGATAGGAACTAACTGCCACTCGCTTCAAACTCTTTCAGGATTTTTACTTAGCTTCTGACTTATAACAGGTATCCTTTTTAGCAATGATTACCAATTATTAAGTCTTGGCATTTTTGACTTCGCATTATTGATTTTACTGGGTCAAATTCATCGCTTTTCAACATTGTGAGATCCCAAAACGCGTTTTCATTTATTTATATTTGATTTTTGATTACAGCTTGATTCCACACTGGTTTTTGGTACAAGTATGGAATTTTCAGCATGGATATCGGTAGCCCAAATTTTGCAGGCCGACCATAAAATCAGGTGTGCGTCGGCAGGGGGTCGAACCTCGAACCATGTGCATGGTCGGCGAGAGTCCTGACCACTGTGCCACCGACACATTATCCGATTAGTTATTCGATTTCACTGCTATCAGGCTTATTTTACAGTGGCATTGACGGTGTGAAACCACATTATATTTTTCTGTTCATATATATATATATGGTGTGAGGGAGAGATAAGAGAGTTTGGGCAATCGTGGACTCAGCTGAAGAGGATGGCGGAAAATAGAATGAAGTGGAGATGTGTTTTTGAAGCCCAATGTTCCACTTGGAACCCAAGGGAACAATAATAATATATTGCAATAATTATAATAATATTTCAGACAAGAAGCAGTTTCCCCTTCGCGTCGGGAATCTAGGACTAATGTGTTTAGACCATCTGTGTTCACGACTTCAAATTTATAAGCTGGTTGTAGTCTGAACGTAGGCATTCAGCAGCACATATCGACTGCTGTCGGCTCTCTGCCATCGGCCGGTTGGTCATCTTATCTCCACTTTCGAAAGAAGGTAGACGTAGATGAAAGTCTGCAGCTGTTGCAGATGCTTTGCGCCATGCACCAAGTCACTAACTGGACATTAGTACTAAACAGAATTCGGACGTTGTTTCTTGTGTTAATTGGTGTAAATCTCCATACTGATTTCATCGTAGTGAACTTCAATCCTGCTTTGCTGATCATGCTAGCTTTGTAACGCTGATCCTTGCTGCATGCTGTTGAAAAGTAGTGATGTAGTATGTGAAAGAGACAAATTCCTTTAGATTCCTCCCACTGGTGGTCACTCATGCTATTTGTTGTTGGTTGGATATATTCATTATCTCTGTTTTCCCTATATTCACCTTAGATCCTCTCTTCACTGCCTCTACAGTCTTTTTATGATGTGATTTTACAACTTTATGGAATTCTACGTATACGAAATTTGTTAAAAAGGCATCTTAATTTACAAAGGGAAACTGATTTAAAAATAAGGTCTAATTAATTAGTTCAGAATTACAGTCTGCATTTAATTTTTCAAATGTGTGCTTCTCCGGCATTTGGTTTCATTGAAAACTGTATCTGCTTTCCACGTGGAACAAGGGTCTGACGCTTCGAAGCTTCAATGGCGGTGATGTTTTTAGTTTCGAAAGCAACCTTCGATCTTTTAGTGGTTTATTACTGTCTAGTAAGCTTGGCGCTTTAGGAGTGATTCAGCCAAGATTCAATCCTGGACCTTCCACCATGTTGGTGAGCATCCTACCACAGAACCACCTATGCACTAGTAAATATCCAAATTAGCACAGTGAAGACATATAATCAAACTAGGTTTTTGCATAAACTTATAACCAGGAATGTGAAATATATTTGTGGTTCTCTAACTGATGTCAGCTCATGATTAAATCCTCCATGAAATATATTTGTTTTTGTTCGCATTGTTGTACAATACTTGCAGCAATAATAGAGAATAAACTGACTTTTCTAGAATCCTTTTCTCCAACACTTCCGATGCGAAAATTTAACTGTTTGCAATCAGGATGTAATTCCGTTAGAAATCGGAGATTTTTGTTAGCCAACTGTGAAATCTCATTATCTGGTATCTGAAATGAAAATATTTCATCATAAGAAGAAATTTACGACTACTAATAAATGTGCAAAAATAACACTTGTTTGCTTAAGATTAATGTGGTGATTGACAATTTCTATTACTGCATTGTTTAAATACTTACTGTTGTTTGTTTATATTTATTATATGAATTGCAAATAATTCTGCCAAATACAAATTCCTAAGTTCATCCCTGTTTACGGTGTTGGTTGATATCCCGTAATTTGGTTATTGGGAAATACTACAATTACAAATAGTTATAACAACTAAACATAAAACCGTACTGCAGACAGCTGGATTTCAGCAAGAAGTCTTTCACCTTTCGAATTACTGTATGAGAAATTTCCGACTTATATTTTTGACCCCGGTAAACATCTGATACGCGTCGAAGCATAAACACTGAGAGGAGTTTCAGCTCTAATAATTCTAGGGTCACTGATAATTATGAAACACTGAAGAGTTTAATCTGTCACAGGAAAGTGAGTGAAGATGATGCAAGAAAAACGTGCACAATTGACATTGTCATCTAAAATCACTTGCATCAAATTTTCGGCGGGCAGTAGCCAAAACACACTACACCCCAAGACTGTTTTAAATTAACAACATGAAGTAGGATTTCAACTCAATTAAAAATAAACTACGTAGTTAACCCACTGTAATTTACATTTATAGAGATTATTGATCCTGAGGTGAGATAAAAATTGGCAGAACGACTTGACAAGTTCACTGTCTCTTCTCGAATAATTTCCAGTTCGGTTAATACTAGAAATACTAAATCATCTACAAGTCAGAGTATTTCACTCAATCCTCAAGCGGGTTACATGTGATTAAAATATCTTAGAATTGCATTCGAGGAATTTGAATATAGTGAGATACATTCAAGATCAACGAAGTATTTTCCCATAGACTCTGAGCACTGATCGCTGAAACTCTAAAATATACTACTTTCCAGATTAATGTAACCGAAATTAGATGAATGCCATGATTTCTAACCTGTAACAGATTTATTCACGGTGGATGCATTCACTTCTCTAAAACGTATAAAAATGGTCACATGCATAAGAGAGGCATAATTTATTAGCTGTGTCATTTTTGTTGGTTCACATGGAGCTGTGTTTCACATCAGCAGGCGGTCTAATTCCACCAATCAGTCAAGGGTTGAAACCCTCCTCTATCTGTCGAAGTTTGGACAACCACACAGTATCGCTAACTCTCGCACATTGCTTATGGTTCACTGTCAGCTGCATGAAAATGCAAATGCCAGTTTGGTCACATTTCCATTCTTCGTATCGCCACTTTTCCTTATTCATCCTCACTATACTATGCCAAGAATTCGTTTTGTCAAATGCTAAACTTTTTTCGCACCACACATTATTACGTAATACTCCAACCACAACCAACCTAGAGTCTGAGGTGACTACTTAAATTGAAAGATAATCAACTCACCTTCATATGATAAGCAATCATTTCTGTGTTTACTTTATTTTTGCTCTTCATGATATGCAATTCCTCGTTTAAATAGGTCTACAATCAGAAAAGAAGAAAATATATCGACATTATGTGCAAATCTCAGCTAGTATTATAATCAGAATAGTTGGTGGTAAGTTTTCGAATTCTAAGTTAGAAGATGAAAAATATTCAAAACACATATTTCTACTTTAGACGGATTTTGACACTAAATAAAGTGAGTCAAAGAACTGCGTGGAACAATATTACATCTTGATCGCAATTAGATGTATAGTTAATCCTAATTTATAAGGTTACTACTTTAATGAAGGGAAATTCATACAATGGCCAAAACAAAATGAGTAACTATACAAACAAATTTCCTAGTCTTAGAATGAATACCACTTAAACACTTAACATATGTAACAATATAAACCATTTAGAATGTGTTCATTTGACTAAACCAAATAAGAAAAATACTTCTATGTGCCACATTTTGAAGTTATACGTGAAAATCATTTCATGACCACACAAGAGAGACTGACACTGAAGTACTAAAATATGTTAAGTATTGTTCAAGCCACAAAAACATCTTTCACATCGAAGTTAAAAAATTGAAGAGTAAAATTAAGGGATAAGAAAACATAGTGTTAGAAGCAATCCTGAAAAGATGTGAGTGTAACGAAGACCCCCAAGAGTCTCCAGTAAAAGTATTTCACTTGGAATATTGACTTAAACGACACAAACTTCAAGATTCTTTTTCGACATATTACTGTTCGTGAACCCAGGCACTGCTGAAAAAAGAAGATAAGTAGTTCAGCGAAGAGACTCCTTCATTCGTGAATTTGTTGAAAAGAGTCTCTTCGCTGAATTATTTGTCTTCTTTCTTCACTAATACTATTATTCAATGCACATAGGTAGAAGGTATGAATTTTAGTCTAAGGGTCAGTGTAGCACAAGCCAAGTGATGTGAACATTAGGCAGGGGATTTGGTCTTATAAAGTCTAGCATAACAACTGCCTTTGCTAACACACACGCTTAATTATCAATAGTTTACATCCTACTGTCTATACATATCTCACTTTGTAATAATTATGAAATTTAGCAGAACCATTCAAATTTTATTAAACACAATTTAAACTATTAAAGTACAGTAAAAGTAACCATTTTGAAAAAAATTTAAGGATTAACATGTTTCTTTCTAAATATTTGTTTTATACGACAACGTTACAAGAAGTAATTTATCTTTATTTTGTGCTGTCTGTTTAAATCATTTTTACAAGTGAGAAACAGTGGGATGTACCGTAAAAGAAATCATACCTTTACTGCACCTTGTTTTAAACTACCTAAGATTATATTCTTAAAGGTTAACCACAAAATTACTCAGCTTATTACTTTCAAGCTTCTGGTTGCTTATATTCTTCGATATATACGCTGATTTCGCAGACAATCTAAAGGGTTCAGTATTTTTATTTGAGTGAGAAAACGGAATTCAACCCTAAGTGATTTGTAGTGATGTAACGTCATTTTGGATAATAGAATGTATTCCTCATGGCGTTTTCAATCTTTATATTGATTAAAATAATGCAACTGAACAGTGTGCATTTGAGGAATTTAATTATTAAGAAGATACAACTTGTGGGTCTTTCTTTTTAAAGGGTTTATCTCCTCAGTGTATGCTGTTATTATCATGAGAAAGTTGATGGTCCAAACGTATGTTTTTTTTTATGAATCGTCTTAACGTCTGAAACTGCACATTTTAAATAAACTACAAAAAATGTTTAGTGTTATTCAGTCATTGATTATTAACTGTAAACATTTTAAGACTGGCCCCATTTTAAATATCTGCAGTAATTTCATTATAAAGACTAGTGATGAGGATCGCACAATTCACCATTAAAGATAGGGTTTCTAGCCTCACCAGGAATAAGAAATCTGTGCTGTCTGAAGAATTTATTTTAAGTCATGACCTAGGAGCACAAAGAATACAATTTCCAGAGATTAGCAGGTTACCGTGAAATTATTTGTAAAACCTATTAATGAGTGTAGGGACAGTCCGTGAATCTTTCTACTTGCTTGGTCGATAATTACCATCTCTTAACTTTTTATTAGGTCAGGAATATCAGTGAATAGGCGAGTAATGTAATTCTAAGCAAGCAACTCCAGATAACTTATTCATATGACGTATCTGGATAATTTATTCTAATTCATGTGGACTAAAGATTGGCTACGCGTTTGGAGTTAAAGTAGTTCGCGATTATTTTTTGTCTCGAATAAATCCGCAACACACAAAATCAAGGCAAATTTATAGCCATACTTTTGCATATTTGCTGTGAAAAATTAAAAAAACCTACTTGACGCAAGAGGACGGACAAGAAGTTAATGATAGTACAGGACAACAAATATCTGTCATATCTTGAAAATTTTTCCTTTCCATCGCATTTACGCAATTCAATTAGAGTCGAATGACTTGCTCCACTCGAAAACATATCAATCCAGTATACACTGTAAATGAAAACAGACAGAAAGAATAAATATATATAAGATAAATGTTTGATTATCCGATCAGGTTCAAGATGTTGAATCATTTTGGGGGAAACGTCTTTATAAACTACAGACAAAGTAAGTGACCTATATCTACATAGATAACTGATAGTTATAGTCATAACTCAACTAATTGGTAGCTATAGAAATTTACTTACTATCACGATAACAGATTTCTCAGATGATCGATGATAGGCATGAAATTTAATTCTGGAACGGCTTAGTGCCTACTGATGTAACAACAGAAGACAAGGGCTGGCAACAGATCGTTTTATTACGGAAATCAACACGTATTTATATAAATTTCACATACATTATTATAGCCTAGTCAAGTAGACAAACGCAGTCTTCTGATCGGTTGTTTTCGAATTCCTCGGAAAGTGGAGCCATCTACCTGCGAATCATATTTGCCCACGTTTAAGTTTGCTGTGATTGTTTGTTGAAACAGCCTTGTTCATATATTCTCACGGCCCATATTAGTGACCTAGGCGTAGATTAATGTCAACCAATTGGCTAGCAGCCTGCTCTCACCACACTAATTCCACCCTGTACATACTATAAAAACTAAAGTTTCAGTTTACTAATGCATATTGAATAGAATTATAGCAACAAGTAAATAAAGGATGAGTGTTACAAAGGCATATTAGGTTTCCAAATGTTATATATATATATATATAATAAAAGGATGGCTGGGCTAAATACAGATCCGAAATAACAATCACGATAACAGTGATGTGGCACTCTACAAAATGAATTGGGAAAACTAGCTACTGCTCAGAGTTTCATCCGACTGATTCACCAGTGACTAATCCTCTGTTGCATATTTTTGATTATTTACTTCCGAAATTGGGAAATAATTACTGTGTATGACAATTAATGAAATAAATTCGATGAAGAGCATGTGAATATGAGCATACTATAATGCATTTATCTGAATTTGTTATATAAGTATAAAACTTGGGCAATGTGGTAGAGCATAACTCCATTATGGATAACATTTTATTTTGATAAATCGTACATTGTTGTACAGTAATATTAACTGATCAGTACAACACTGTGTGATTTATCAAAATAAAATCTTATCCATAATGAATCTGTTACAACTGATGAAAACTACGCAGCACACGTAAACACCGCTTTATGTAAATATTGGCCTTTCTTAGTATTTGACTAAGATTTCTACTTGTTTTTGTTCACATGAAAGAAATGACGTTCAGATAATAGTTACTGTTTCCAGAGGTATCATTCTTATGCTCTACAACCGCATATATATATGGTAAACTGTCTAAAAAACAAAAGGAATATTCTTAAATATGTGTCATTTAATTGACTGGATTGAGTTGAATTTAACTAAAATTTAATGACAGTCAATTTAACAATAGTGGTAATCAGGGATAGAAACTTAATAGGGGGTGAGAGAAAAAGATCTTACAATTACGAAACAAAAAACAAAAATTTCCTATCGGGTGTTAAGACAGATCAGATCCACTGAAGATTTGGTGACTGATCAAACTTCTTTTGAATGCAGAGGTCCGGATTTAACGCTTTTGAAATTATGTAATTTGTTTCTATAAACAATTTGTAGTCCTAATGACACATCTATGGAAATATTCATTTTGTTGTTGAGAAAATTTTACTGTGTACATGTGGTTGTACAGCTTGAAAGTAATACTTATGAAAACAGTAACTCTTCTCTGAACGTCTTTTGTTCTATATGACTCAGCTGGGATGTTTAAGTTGTTTTTGTTCAATCAAAATTTTCAGTAAAGTTTAAGGCTCATAAAAAGGTTTCAGTCGCATGTGAATAGTTGCATACTTCTATTATGATTTTTAAAAAACTCGACAATAACTTCGCCTCTCAAATCATTTTATACCTTTAGTAACACAGGGTCATTACGTAACAAGATTACTCGACAAAGTCTTAAATGGAGATGTAACCTTGTGGTATAAAGTATGCTAGATGCCAGATGTTTAGTCGTTCTCCTGGATAATATGTCTAGCAATTACTTCAATCATCTATTTTCTATTAACTGGAGAAAATTTTAGTAATCAGTAGATTGTATACTTTACAAATCAATATTGGTTAGGGCAGCTTCGAATACCATAAGAGACTGGAGAACTATTAAGGACATTCATTCCAGCTTTTAAGTAAGATTTATTTCAAGACAGTTGAAACTAGTGCCTAGGTCGTTACCACCTAAATATTAGTTCAGAATTTGATGGCCCGTGTCATCTGGTGTCTACTTATGTGTGATGATTAGTGTGAGTATAACCAAATGCTTTGGCCATTGAATGACGGCTGAAGAATTACATGAACTTTAGGAATATAAAAAAAGTGAACTACTCACTATCAATTTCTAAATAACTATCAGAGCATTATGTTTCTATCCAAAATATTTTCTACCGGTAGTTCAGTGGATAGCTCAGTATTATGATGATTAACTATTTTATTATGAAAAACACAATATTCAGCAAAGAGACTCTTTTCAACGAATTTAAGATCAAGCTGAACGAAATATTCCCATATTGAGTCATAAGAAAAGGGCACAAACAGCGAAGAAAATTTTCTTTTCGACGATTCATTTTCATCAGTTGTACAATCGTAATTATAATTAACAAAGAAATCAGATAATGGTAAACTTTGTCCTTAAAATTTGTACTACATAATGTAAGGTGTAAGAAGGGATGACTAATTGTAAGTTAGAAAGGAGACAGAAATTGGCATGTCTTAATAAGTGTGAGATGATGACTAATTTAAGTATGCTGATGACCTGACCGTTTCTGTCCCTGTAGTTGCCACATCGGATTGTTCCTATATGAATGGCTTCTTAGCTGAAGTTAAGGATTGGTCTGGCTCAAATGGTCTTAAACTAAATCCAACTAAATGTAACACTGTTGATTTCAGCTTGAGAAGTGAAAAAGACATGCACAGATTGATTCAATCTCATGATTGTAGTAATATTGATGGTACCATGATTGAGAGTAAGTCAAGTGTTTCTTATCTTGGCATTAGTTTCTCTTCAAACCTTTGCTGGTCGTCTCATATTCTTAAAGCTTCTAAGAAAGTTTTCCGTCTGACTTATTACATAAAGAAGCTGAGGCACTCAGGTATAACCCAATCTCCTATCATACAATTTGTTAATTCATGTGTTTTGCCCATCATTCTTTATTGTTCTCCATTATTCTTCCCTGGGATACTCAAGAAAGATCATATAATACTACGAAGAACATTGAGGGCTGTAAGTAGGGTCAGTGCTATCCCTTTGACTGAACTAAATGACACTGTTGTCAATAGGCATATGAATTCTTGTAAACACTTAGCTAAAGTTATCTTATCTGATAGTGAACATCCTCTTTATTCACAATTGTTTCCTTGTATCTCTTCGGGTAAGACCAGAAGAAATTTTATAAACATTTATGCTCGTACTACAAAATATAAAAATTCGACCCTACCATATTTGGCACGAGTATTGTGTGAAGAGACAAATATCAGAAAAGAACTTTTACAACTTTTGAATCATTAACTAAAGTATAAAATGTAATGATGCATATTAATGCAAGTGTTATTTGTTATATTATTTATTTATTATTCACTATGACCTAGAAATGGTATGATTTTGTTGGGTTTTTTATTTTTATTTATTTTTTTATTATTTTTTCCTATTAACTATCAATATTTTAACATTTTATATATTTATATAATTATAAACAGAGCTAAACCATTGCAATATGTAAAAGAAACGCTGAAAATTCCATGCTGTAAATTTTTATTGTTGTGGAATAAAGTGATTATTATTATATTATATTATTATATTAATCACAACGGTTCCTAAGAAGACTCTCTTCATGAAGCTAGCATTCAAAAGTGATATCGCAGCGGAAATTCTCAGAAGCCGCCTTTCTAGAAGTCTGAAGAAGACATTTCCAACAGCCACTCTACGTATCACATTTTCCTGTAGACAGTTAATCCGGTCTAACGCTAAGGACAAGATACCACTTTTATCCACTTCAATGTGTATTTATATCGGCCGTATATCGGCCGTACGCAACGGCAATTCCACAAACGTATTCTGGAACACTACCCAGCTTCGTTAGCCAGTGGAGAAAAGAAGAATACCAGCAGCTGTATCCTCGAACACCTTGTCATCTCTGGACATCAAACAGCCCCCACATGAATGCTTCACAGTGTTACACAGAGTCCCTCAATATCGTACAAAAAGACTTCGGATACGCTATCTTTACATAGCTAAAGCCTTAGCTATTCGAGATCTGAAACCGGACCTATGCATACAAAAGCGATACATACATTCTCTTGCCCTAACATAGCCAGAGTAAAGTTCTTACTACAATTTTGCTTCTTTCCTTTCATATGTAAGTTCACTATTGTTATTATTGTTCTTAATACTTTTACCATCATTATTATTCCCATTATCCACGTTTTATTACCACTCTATTACTGTATAATAATAACGTTGCTTTTTCATACAGATTTTATACAAAAGCACTTTATAGCCTTTCCACTAGTTCCTGTCCATTCTACACGAGCTTATTGATTATTCACTATCTCACACTTATTAAGACATGCCAATTTCTGTCTCCTTTCTAACTTACAATTAGTCATCCCTTCTTACACCTTACATTATGTAGTACAAATTTTAAGGACAAAGTTTACCATTATCTGATTTCTTTGTTAATTATAATTACGATTGTACAACTGATGAAAATGAATCGTCGAAAAGAAAATTTTCTTCGCTGTTTGCGCCTTTTTCTTATTATATATATATATATATGTCCCCAACATTGGGCGTGAGTAAAATGAGAACAAAGGCTTTTCGTAGGCGGATACAGCTAACATATAGATGATCTGACATTCAAGAAACAGCCACAAAGAGATGCAAGGTTAACTTTCTTTGAGAAACAACCAATCAGAAGACTGTGTTTTTCTGCTAACAATAATCTATAATAATGAACATGAAAATCTGTAAATATGTGTTGATTACCTTACTAAAGGATCTGTTTCCTGGCCCTTGTCTTCTGTTGTTACAGTAGCATGGAAGGCAATTAAAACATTTGTGATTATAATCATAGTTAAATGTCAAGTAGGAAAACAATTAATGTTACGCAGATGTTGGAAAAGGGGGGTTCATAATTATTCTGATAGACATTTATTTACTTATTTATTTTGTTTATTTAGCTAATCCATGTACCTTTCCCTTACTACCACGATTATTATTATTATTATTATTCTCACTTTGAATTGTTTCCACTTGTCCCACTTGTCATTCTAAATCCAAAATTGTTTTGACAATGCTGAGTCCTATCTTATCAAATTTCACACCTTGTTGCGTAACGTTTTATATTGGTCTGCTAATCCTATAATTATACACCCCCCTTTCCAACATCTGTACATCTTATGAATTAAACTCTGTATGACATTAATTGTTTTGCCACTTGATATTTAACTGTGATTATAATCACAAATATTTTAATTGCATTCCATACTACTATTATTATTTCATGTATTCACACCTTTGATTCAGTTACCGCGCCGGATACAATTTCTTATAAGAAGACCCATATAAATATATATATATATATATATATATATATATATATACGATTGTACAGCCTGATATTAAATTCGTTGAAAAAAGTCTCTTTGCTGAATACTGTGTTCTCAATGTTACAATGGGACTGATTAAATTATATGTTATTATTATGTCTTTTAATAAGTTTAACAACTCAAAACAAATATAAACTCACTTTATATCAAGTTGATTGATAAATCTACTGACATCATCTATCTTGTATGTCTTCAGTGTTTCCATGTCAACATTGACTTTTGATATACAAAACAAAATAAACGGTTCAATAATTTATACAGTGATTCCTGAAAAACTCATTCTTTTCATCCAATATTATGAATCTATTAACTTTAGACAGTTAAATCATTTAGTTTTCTAATTACAAACAACTTTCAGCCAAGTTAAAATTGATACCTGTGACTGCTAGAAAAAAGAATAGTATCAAAACCTGAATAAAACATTAGGAATGATTAAGACATAAATACTTTCGTTTTTTATACGAAGTAGCCATCAACATAATGCTAACCTTATAAATCGTAATTCAGATAAGAAGGATATTATGTCAAGTGGTAAAGCAAATTAATGTCTTATATAGAATAATTCATAGGATGGATAGAACTTGAAAAAGGGTGTGCAATTATAGGATTAGTAGACAAATCGAATAAAACAAAAAACGTTACTTAATATTGTGTGAAAATTAATAGCATAGAATTTATCGTTGTAAAGGAATTTACCGTTGTAAGGAATGTATCACAAAGATCTTGTGCTCTATATGAGTTATCGGTTGATGAACGTCAGACGTTTAACGAATATGTCAATGTGGTCACCAACAAACAAACTATGTCTTTTAATTCTAAGCTATCTAATAGCCTAAAACCTATCGAATGTCTTCGAAAATTTCCTGAGAATTCTGAGAGATACGTGTTCAAACACTCCTCTATATCTTTATCGAAATTGCAAATGAAAGCCTTGTCTATGGGATCGAAGTTTTGTGATGTTAATCTAAATGTCAACAAACTACATACTCATGTCCAGTTTGAGAATCTACTCAGTCAAACCTATGATTTCACACCATCGTCTGACCAGGATTTCCAATGCTTCAAATCTACAATTACGGACTCCTGCAATCAATACCTTAATGCTAGATCAAAAATGCAAAGTCTTCTTACTAAACAGCACAAAGAAGAACTTAAGCTATTGACGCATAACAGCGATATACTATTAACACGCCCTGACAAGGGTACAGGTGTTGTTATTATGGATCGTAAACAGTATATCGATAAAATGTCATGTCTACTTTCACACAGCAGTAAATTCTCGAAACCAAACGAGAAAAACAAGTCGGAATTAAGTGAGAAACAACTTACCAATACTTTAAAGAGAATGAAGAACAACCATCTTATTCGTGAAGAATTATACTTTACAAGAGCTTGGAATTCAAAGGGGACTTAGCTTCCAATATCATGAAATGAAGGATATCACAGTCCCTGAAAAGAACATTCCCTGCTGCATCTCTGAGAATAGCCTTTACTAGCCGACCATTGTTGTTCAGTAACCTGAAGGATAAGATCCCGCTGTTGACCAACTCTATGTGTGTTGATCAATTCACCTGCTCTTGTGAAGCTAGATATATCGGACGTTCGACTCGAGTTTTGTCCAAGAGGGTGCAAGCTCTACCAATTTTCGTCTATTTAATTTGTATACCCTTCCTTATTACGTCAATTGTTATTATTACTATTCTCATTTTGAACTGTCCCCGGTATTATTTCACCTGTTCCACTTGTCATTCTAAATCAATTCTTTTTTACAGAGTTAAATTCTATGCTATTAATTTTCACACAATATTAAGTAACGTTTTTTGTTTTATTCGATTTGTCTACTAATCCTATAATTGCACACCCTTTTTCAAGTTCTATCCATCCTATGAATTATTCTATATAAGACATTAATTTGCTTTGCCACTTGACATTTAACTACGATTATAATCACAAACATTTTAGTTCTAATTGAACTTCATATTATTATTATTATTACTTTATTTCTTCACACCTAAGATTAAATTCCCTCACCGGATATATATATATATACGACTGTAGAGCTTGATAATAAATTCGTTGAAGAGTCTTTTCGCTGAATCACTTGTTTTGATTTTGTATATGTTACAATGTGAATTTTCTGTTATTTGATATTTAGCGAAGATGATATAGACTGTTTATTTGGTGACTGATTTTGGAAGACAACCTCTTATTTCCTAATCTCCAGCATTCAGCAGCAAAATTTAAGAAACCTATGTAATGTCAAATATTTGATCCTGCAGCACTTATTCTTCGAAGACATATAATTTATTTTTAAGCCATTTGAATCATGGGAACTCCTCTGTAGCAGTGAATTATGCACTGTAGATAGTGTATTTAGTCCTAAGTACAACGCCTGAAGTAATTTGGTGGATGGTGATTAGCAAAAGAATCCACATTGCGCATTTCACCATAGTGGGAGTTGTCATCTGGATGTACCTGCACGGGGTGTTGTAGGTTCTGATTGTGTCAGTATTCGTACTCAAAGTTCACTTATAGTAATACTATCATGCAAATTTAAGGGTTTTGCAGAGAGTTCCATATTCAGATGCCATTTAGCACTGACAGACATATTTCCATGCACTTAACTGGCCTGTATTTGATTCATGTGAATCTCTTGCCACTATGGATTAAAATGACAGCCCTATATATGTGTCTCAAGATATACGGTTTTTCTCGAGTTTGTCGACATGCACTGCTTCTGATTATGAGCGATCACACATACCTTGATAAAACCATCTCTATTGTTTTCGCTAAATCAAGTATACTTAGTCTTAGTCTTAAAATAAGTTTGAAATGTACCTTATCTACATTTACTGCAAAGTGCAACGTCGACTAGAACGAAAAGTTTTCATGTTACTTCGTATTACTGGTACATCTGAAATTTTGTTAATGCAAACCTGGGTAAACTGAAAAAATATTTTACTTCCTTATTTGAAACCTCTTACTTTGTTTAAATAAATCTTCTAGCATCCATTTTGAGTTATTCCATCGTTGTTTACGCACCATCTGTAAAGTAGGTGTAATGTTATAGAATATGATCATTTTTATAAGTTTATCAAAGGCATGCATTTAAATATTGCCAAATAATTTGACTTACATCTCAAAAGCATTTCAGCTTTGCTGAACTGGGATAAATATATGTTTATCTAATACTTCTTAAGGTGGAAAACAATTCTTATAGGTTAATGTGCGTAGAAATAAGCGTGCAAGAAATTTTCTTTATACTTTTTTCTCTTAATATCCCTGTACCGAACTCATCAACTCCAATTTATGTCCATCAAATAGACGACATCAAGTTATTAATCAGGACATTAATTGAGTATCTACTTAAAGAGTCGATGAGATAAAATGAAGTTCATCGTTTTTGTTCAGGGAACTTAAAAGCATAAAAAGGTGACATAATGTCATACTCATTTCTCAAGAAGTGATACCTGGCTTTTTGAGTTTAAAGGCGATTACTGTTACTATAACTATGAAATCACAAATAAAGTCAAAATACTTTCACTGATAGCCATCAGCTGGGAGAAATATGTTTTATACATTTATTGCTCTTATTAAATTTGAATAAAGCAAGAACAACAGATTTTACAGAATAAAATGGTACCACCATTTTTTTCTTTGGCCTCTCATCATCTGCTTACAGGCCAAAGTTATTATTAAGTATACCTACAGAAATAATTTCAACATACTTGCACAGAGTTCATTTTTAAACAAAAATCAATCATTTATTCCCCTAATGAATTTGAACAAAGCAAGAACTACAGTTTTAGCAGAATAAAATGGTACCATCTTTTATTTCGTTGCCTTCTCGTCAGCTGCTTACATGGCAAAGACATTATTAAATATATCTACAACAACAATTTTAACATACTTGCACAGAGTTAAGTTTAAACAAAAATCAATCGATCAATATACGCATACACTAAAAATATATACATATATAAATATGCAATATTAACCACTATTCCGAACAATAATAATCAAACACAATGGAAACTTTTAGCATTTCACATTCGGAGGAAAGAGAGGTGAAATTATCCAGTTACCAGGGCAAAGAAAGGCTGATAACCGCTTCTTTCTGGAGGTATAAATCAGGTTTCAGGCGCTTGATGGAAATGGCTTCAGCGAACTTAAGGAGAATTGAGCTACTTTGCTTACTGATAATTTTGAACGACTTTTCGACGTCCACCTCATGACCCGTGTCGAGAAGATGGCTGGTGATGGCACTGTTTAAAGCATTTGTTCCCTTTAGACGTAAACTTTTTGGTACATCTTCAGAAATCGTAGATATGCCCTTCTTTCTGTCCTTCCAATGTAACTACTCCCGCAGATACATGTAAATTTGTATACACAGTTGGAGGTAACATGTAAATAAGCAAAAGAGTTCAATTTTCCTAAGTTTGCCGAGGCGATCTCCATCATGCGCCTGAAATCTGATTTATGCGTTCAAAAAGAAGCAGTTATCAGTCTTCCTTTGCCATGGTCACTGGATATTTTCACCTCTCTTTCACCTGAATACGTAATGTTGAAAGTTTCCTTTGTGTATGATCATTATTGTTCGGAAGTGTTTAATATTATGCATATATATACATATATATATATGTATATAATTACAGTGTGCATATATTGATTGATTTTTGTTTAAAAATGAACTCTGTGCAAGTATGTTGAAATTGTTTCTGTAGGTGTACCTAATAATAACTTTGGCCTGTAAGCAGATGATGAGAGGCCAAAGAAAAAAATGGTGGTACCATTTTATTCTGTAAAATCTGTTGTTCTTGCTGTCGAAAACCTAAGGCTAAAGGTTAGTAAAATTTAGTGGATTTCTGCCACTTCATCCTATCTGATAGATGCAAGAATACTGACTCTAGCAGGGGCCGAATATGATGAGGAACGAAAGCTGTTCAAAGGCAAACTGACAAAAGATCTTCACAACAACCATAGACAGTGGTAGGCGACAAAAAAGGGAGGGGATGGTGGAGAAATCGGCGCCAGGTAACACTAAACAACTGTTTAGGCTTGTTGGACAAACAAGTCGCAAAGGGAAAATGATATGTGAGACGATATCTGAGAAAAATGGAGCTCTAATTAGCTTTAAGAATAGACGACGTGAAAGCCGAAAAAACGTTTTGAGCAGAAATCTTGGAATGTTTGGCATGTGATTTGCTCCTATCAGGTGTAAGATGATGGTACAGCAGTGGACTAGATCGACTGCTATCTTCAAGATATGGAGTGGATTGGTAGAGTAATGATTACCTCACTTGTTTGGGAAGTTGCTGGCTATTGACAAAATTTCACCACGGATACAAAGGGTTCGTGCCTCACTTGATAACTAACATCATCTCTGGCATAGACGCGATACCCCGTAATCGGTCAATACAAAATACATCAATTTGCCCCGTCCTAATTTATGGGTGTGAGACCTGTACATTGAAAATGGAAGAAGTGGAAAGACTAGATTATAGATACCAGCGTTCTGTATCCTATGTTAAGTGGTATGATAAGGTGAGTATTATTGAGGATGGGCGTCGAGTGATAGGTGAGGAAGGAAAGTCAGTTGAAAAAGTTGTGAGGCTATGTGTTACGCAATCCTAGACATCGCCTTACTCTATAAGCAATGTAAACCAACATGAGAGCAGGTTAGCAAAGAGAAAGGGGTAGTCAAACCATAACTTGGTATCAGTCCATGAAATCTTCGGGAGTTAGTTACACCGTATCCAACGTCTTAGTTGTAGTGTAGACTTGTGCAACTTAATAGATTACCTATCGCTTATTAAGATTCCCTTGGCTTACGAGTGAAAAGCAGGGATTCAACATTACCTCAACATTTAATCATATCTCCTTTAGTCCTCTTGATCTCAACACATGATTGAGAACTGATTCTTATTTCCTTCTCACACGATCTCATCCATGTCACCATAAAAACCACACCCAACTCATCTTTTCCCACTCGGATTACACTCGGGTGATGGCATCACACCCAGTGACATTCAACAGTCTCCTCAGTGTGTCCGATCAATCTCCATTTCCTTCAGCATATTTATTAAGCAATAGCTTCTTGGTTCGCTCGTTCCCAGAGGTCCTTCTCAATAATTCCTCCCGACCGACCATCTGATCTCCAGGATGGAGTCAGACAAGGCAGTTGTTGAAAGAAGTATGAATGAAGCGTGTTAGGAATGCTTTGTGTGACACGTAGGCGAAGTCTCTGATTCATACAGAAGAAGTGACTTGACATCGGTGTTGAAGATACGGATTTCGTACTTTATGCTGAGTGCAGAATATTTCCAAACTGATTTCAGAGTGGTGAAGATTTGTCTTGCCTTTCGGATTCTGGCTGGTTTAGACATCGCCGTCCGTTCTGTCGCCTGTAGTTGAAACGATTCTGACTAGATAGTGGGAGGATGTGACCTGGTTCAAATTTCCTCCGTCGACAGTGATTGGTGGCCGTTGTAGTAGTTGTCGTTGTTGTTGTTGTTGCTGCTGCCCCTACGTTGGTTGGCCACCTTGATCACCTCTGTTTTCTCTATGTTCAATTGAAGTCGTGTGTCTGCTGCCTGCGTCTTCTGCCGATTTGTTGGTTTCCGCCTGTAAGCCTACTAGTTTGTGTGACACTAAGCATAAATCGTCCGCGTGCGAAATCCAGATCTCCTCAACTCTTCTTATCAGTCCAAAGTATTCCAGTCTTCATATCAGTAAAAAGTTTGAACATTGTGGATTAGATCAAATAAAGTATAATTATATTTCAATAGTTTACACACAATGATAAGTTTTGTTATTGGTTATATTTCGAGCACAGATTCTGAACACACATATACACACGCAAAACATGAATGAGCAAAAAAATGAACTATATATTCGAGTAGAAATCGTAAATGTGTGAATAAAACAATTCCAACAGTGATGTGAACATGGGCAGTAATTTTGCTCGAAATATTACCAACAACAAAACTTATCATTGTGTGTAAATTATTGAAATATAATTATACTTTATTCCAGTCTTCTCACTCCCCACACACGGTGTGCCACATAATCCAGTCCACCACGATTAGGAATACCGTGGATGATGGAAGGCAGACTTGTCTTACTCCTGCATCCACTTCAAAGGCTTCGCTGAGTTTTCCTCTTTGAGTCACTTGACACGTGGTATTGCCATGTAGGTGTTTAAATGAGACTGATGATGATTTGAGTTCTGCACACCATAGTGTTGAAGTAGTTTCTAAATCACTTCGTGGCATCACTTCGAAGGCATTTTCAAATTCGGTGAAGTTGATGTAGGAGTTTGACCGCCATTCTAGGCCTTGTTCGATGATGATGCGTTGAGTTGTATTCTGATCAGTACATGATTCGCCTTTTCTGAATCCAGCTTGTTCCGGCTGTCGAAGTTTCGAGTCCCGAGCTTTATTTAATCTCCCAAAAATGACGCGATTCAGTATTTTACTTGGCGTTGGCAAGAGCATGACTCAACGTCAGTTCTTGCAGGGGACTAGATCGCCCTTCCCTGGTAGTTTGGCGAGATGTCTGTTCTTCCAGTCACCAGGTACCTTCCCCCTCTTCCAATCTCTTCGCAACAGTGGCGTCAGCATATCCAATGGGGTCTGTGCGTCTGTTTCAGTGCTTCTAGAATAATTCCATCTTGTCCTCCTGCCTCCCTGACCGACTTTCAGAAGCTTTGAGTCATCCAAGAAGTCTTATTTTGTCGGGAGATTACTGTCCTCTTGCAGCTCTATGTCTGTTAAGTTGATGGTGGTAGTTCTGGATGAGTTGCAGGCGATGGTCAGTTTAGGAGTCTTTCGAATTAATCAGCCATTTGTTTCATTTGTTACCCGTACTTCTTGCGCTTCATTATCTTTCTTTGAAGTATTGGTTTGTAGGGATTTTGTTTGATTGTATGGAGGATTTCATCATGGACTGACATCAGTTAGAGAACCACTGGAAAATCTGGGAGTACTGGTGTTATGTTCTAGTTTCCCCGTCGCCAAATTGTTATGTACTCGTCGCTAAATTAT